GAGCGCAGGCCTGCAAACCAAACAATCGAGGTTCGATTCCCAGTCAGGGCACATGCCTGGGTTGCAGGCCAGTTCTTAGCAGGGGACGCACAAGAGGCAACCGTACATTGACGTTTCTCTCTCTCCCTCTCTCCTTCCCTTCCCCTCTAAAGATAAATAAATAAAATCTTTAAAAAAAAAAGGATTCTGAGGGCACTACACCAGGGTAGAAGAAACAGTTTAGGTCAAGCTGAAATTTATTGGTATGAGTACATTTCATTGCAAGTGATCACAGGTGATCTAACCCATGTTCCAGCCATGGGTGCCCGGTACAGTTCTCGTCCTGTTCTCTAACAGTAGCTAGATGCTCACTTCCTCAAAACCTAGCCAGGCCAGGTAACTCATCAAGATAACCTGATCAGACAACAGAATCCCCACAAGCTAGTTTAAGCAAAAGGAATTTATAAAGCAGTATAGACAGCCCATAGAATCACTAAAAAAGGCTTGAAATGAAGTCTAGGCTGAATTCTAGGAATGACTCCCAATTCTATACCATAGACATGAGCTTGCAAGATAGAGCTTCTGTTCCCATAATCAGGAAGCCACCTGCCAAATCAGAAAGCACTGACCACAGCCATCAGCTCCAAAAACGCATCACCTTGGAACATCCAAGCCTGTGCAGTAAACAGAAGGCCCAAGCCCTGCGTGTCTCTCCCCATAACTCATTTCTGAATCGAACTGTCACCCAAGTGCTTCTGATTACAAGGACATTGGTTCTGTTCGGAATCTGAGCTCTAAGGAGTCTGGGAAGTGGTTTTTAGCCTTCCAGACTCTGCAGCACAGGAAAGCATGACAGAAAGGGACTGACGATCTGGACTATCTTTGTACACAGCATGTTAACACATACAGACATGATCAGACAGCCAGCTTTTTCACTTAACAGGACGCCTTGTAGATACTTGTGTTAACATAGAGATTACCTCCTTTTTGATGGCACTGTATTCGTATGGATGTGTCGTGATTCACCATTTTCTTCAGGAGGACACTTAGGCTTCTTCCATCTTCAATGGATTCCTTCATCCTGACCACACCTGTGAGAAAGGAATCGGAGCCTGCACATACCTTTCCCCCGATATGTGTGTGCTTCTGGACTTGAAACTGAATTTCCTGATCACAAGCCACTGTTTTTCTTTATATACGTGCCTCCCTACTCCATCCCCCTTAGTCTAACATGTTATTTTCCCTGAGAGAATATACACTGAATGAATGGATCATCCTGCTTTTCTCTTGCCATGGGACACTGTTTGAATTCTGGGAATTTCAGATGCGAAGCAGCCTGGCACACTTTCTTTTTGCTACAGCATGTCTGGGGCAGGCATCCTGAAAGTCCCTAACAGAATATGCCATCTGTCAGGCTTTTTAATAATTCTTTTTTCATTGACAAGTGCCAGTGGTCTCTAACCAATTAATTAAGAACAAGAGCGCATAAAAATGTTTTCTGCTTATACAGACGCATTTCACAACTTCGGTACAAATATGCAGTGAGTGTGATGCACCTTAAACAGGGTGTCAGAACAGCAGCATGTAGATTAACGTGAAAGAGAAGCCAGGAAGAGAAAATATTCATTTTAACAAGTACTCCGAAGGCAGCAAATCACCGAATATGAAAGGTGGAAAATCTTTAATTTTCTTAACCTCGGCATCTATAAAATGGGGGTGAAACCCACTTTTGTTAATACCCCACAAGGACTAAACAAATGGTAAACAAAAGCGTACTATTGCTATTACAAATATCTGCGAATAAAGGGCACATGTGCCCCAGGCCATGTTATTTAGCTAAGAAAGGCAGGAAACTGTCTGTTGACCAATGGTAGATCATTTAAGTACACTTTCCCAAAGTTGGTACCTGTCTGTTTTAAGTGATTTTCTCCCCTCATTCTGGCCATAATGATCTTGATCCTCATCCTGTCCCAAAGTCCACCTCCAGCCTGTGCCTCAGCAAGCCTGCAACAGTACAAAAGAGGGTGGGGCGGGTGGGGGGCGGGTACAGGGGAGCAGAAAACGCAAAGACCAAAAGTCCACAGCATGCTTCCTAGGAGCTCCCTAGTCCATCTATATAAATAAGTATGCTTCGCCTAAATGGAATAGGTTTTCTCTGTGAGCTTTAAAGACTTGCAACCATGATGAGATCCCAGTTTTAGCCAGGCCACTACTAAAGAATCAACAGAACTTGGGTGGGCTAGGCACAGACTGCACTTCTGGCTGTGCCTATTATACAGAATTATGTGCCTATTATAGAAATTAATTGTCTCACAGTTCTGGAGACCAGAAGTCTGAGATCGGAATGTCAGTAGAGTTGTTTCTCCCAAGGGCTTTCTCCTTGGCTTATAGATAGCAATCTTCTACACGCCTTCACGTGGTCTTCCCTCTGCGCTTGTCTGTGTCTAAATTTCCTCTTAGAAGGACACCAGTCATACTGCATTAAGCCTGCCCTAAGAAACTCATTTTTACCTTAACTTTTTGAAGACCTTACTTCCAAATATGGTCACATTCTGAGGTACTGGGAGGTTAGAACTTTAATATGTGGGGTGGGGGGGGGGGACCATCTAACCCGTAATAGGTAGTAACCTGCAGATATGTTGTTTTTGAGTGAGATGTAGCTTGGTGATCAGATACTGTAAGTTAGTTGTCATACTTAATGAGGGGCTGACAGTTTATGTTCAACACACAGTTAAGTGTGTTCACTAGGAAGTGTGCGTACAAGTTGACAGCCTGAAAAGGCCGAAGGAGACTAGTTCCTCTCACTTCTGTGCCGTCTGATGTACTGAGGGCCTCGGCCTAGCACACATGCAAGGTTATAAACAACACCCTCTTTTTAAAAGTATATTTTATTGTTTATGCTATTAGTTTTCCCAATTTTTACCCCCTTTCCCCCCCTTCACCCTGTACTGCCCCACCCTCTAGTATTCCCTACCTTACTTCATGTCCATAGGTCGAACATGTAAGTCCTTTGGCTTCTCCATTTCCTATACTATTCTTAACCTCCCCCTGTCTATTTTGTACCTACCATTTATGTTTCTTCTTCTCTGTACCTTCTCCCCCCGATTCTTCCCCTCCCCACTGAAAACCCTCCATGTGATATCCATTTCTCTGATTCTGTTCTTGTTCTAGTTTGCTTAGTTTTGGGTTTTTTTTTTTTTAGGTTCAGTTGTTGATAGTTGTTACTTGTCATTTTACTGTTCATAGTTTTTGATCTTCTTCAATTTCTTAGATAAGTCCCTTTAACATTTCATATAATAAGGGCTTGGTGATGATGAACTCTTTTAACTTGACCTTATCTGGGAAGCACTTTATCTGACCTTCCATTCTAAATGAAAGCTTTGCTGGGTAGATCAATCTTGGATGTAGGTCCTTGCCTTTCATGACTTGGAATACTTTCTAGCCCCTTCTTGCCTGCAATATCAGATAGGTTGGATATCTCACCGCTTAGTTTTTTCTGGAGCTTTGCTCTGTTCTTTTATTTGGGCCATAGCTGTCTCCGTGCACCTGTTATGCTGTCAGGGGGCAAGGCCACAGGTATTCACCCAGGTGGGACAACCCTCTCTGCTGTGCTGTGGTGCTGTGTGGGTGGGGTCAGAGAGGGAACAATGTGGCTCGCTCGCTCAGCTCTAGCCCCCCTTTCCAACAAACTCTGTCATGTGAGAGTGGGAATTTCTCCCGCTGTGGCACCACCGTGGTAGTTTACAGCTAGCTTGCTTGGTTCAGCCAGGCCTGCCTTGCTGCCTGTCTCCGTCCGTCCTACCAGTCTGGTGAATGTTTCGACTCCTTGGTTGTCAGAGTTCCATGCAGTGTGATTTTCTGGCACTTCTGGTTGTTTCTTGTTTTTAGATTGGTTGTTATCCTCCTTTGGGTTGTGTGTGGAAACAAAGGGTTTCTACCTACGCCTCCATCTTGGCTGGAATTCTAAAGGGTTCATACACTGACCTACAAGAATAGGACAAACTAGTTTGTAGGCTTTGGCCTTACAAACTCAAATTATGCCCAGTTGTACCTGTATTACTAAAATCCAGGGCTTCATGGGCCATCTATAGCCATAATTTTTAGAGTAGAAACTGTGCTAAACTAAAACTGAAGACTACTGGTTCATGTTTACTGTACATCAAGTACTATGGTGGCCCTTTCTTACACGTTAACTAACATCAAACGGTGTTATGAAACAGGAACTCGTACTGTGGTCTATTTACAGTAAACAGAGGCATAGAGGTCACATACCTTGACCTGACCAAGGTTACAAACCATTGTGCAGCAAAGCCCAGACTGGAGAACAGTCGGCTGGGCTCCAGGGCCCACACTCATATCCTGCTTCTCAACACGACCATCTACCCAACAGCAGCAGCAGGTGAGGCCACCTGCAATAGCCGGAGAAGGCTGATTAAAAGCCAGTTACTGATTTATTCATCTTGTGAGAAGGACTTAGAATGTACCTTTTAAGTCTAAAAGGTTAAAAAAGAAAAAAGGAAGAGACAGTGGTAAAAAATCAGTAAGTTACATTCTCACTCAAAACTATTATCCTCTATTCTATGTTTTTAAGCATCAGTCTGGGGAGCATTTAACCTCGCATGAACCAGAGATAGAGGGAGGAAGGAAACTAGTCCCAGCATCCGGGAGCAGGGCTGGCCTGCCACCAGGATGCTGTTAGTAAAAAAGTAAACTTGGAGCTGCCCCTGTCCCCTCACAGCTGCCCCGACCTGACAGAGGCTTCCTGACCCAGAGACAGCAGCCACCTCTACCTACCACCAGCACCTGGCCTCCTCTTTCAACTGTAGACAGGCCACAGTTCTGCAGGAAGGCAGCAAAGGCGCTCCCTTAAGGAGAGGGCAGGCGACGACCTGGAAACACAGGAAGCAGTTTCTCTAAGCACTGTCATGCACACACCTTGGAATATGACCTCAAAGCTACAGTACTTCAGAAATGCTCTCTCCACTTCCAACACTAAAAGAACTCAAGTTGTTCCCGATTTTCTCCTAAAGATGCATTCTTCTCCTTCTTCCCCAAAATGACGTGACAAGAGGAATCCTGTATTTTTAAAAAGTTTTTATTTTAATCCTTCCTAGAGGAATACAGATTTGAATGAAATACATTCATTCTATAAATACATTAGCAGCAAAACCTTCCCACCAGAGTCCTGCTAGTCCAGCCCAGAGGTTGTGCCTCAGCGCAGGAGAGCGTGTTCTGTCAACCGTCAACTTAAGGACGTCTGATTTTTGCTGAAAGGAGGGTGTGCCTGTGAAACCAGGGGAAAGACCAGATGGATGCAGGAACTAAGCTGGGACCCTGAAATCGCTCCCATGTGGTGACCTCAAGAAGCCTTCCACTTTCCAAATCCTTTGGTATCCACACTTAATTGGTTGGTCCTTCATAGACAACTGGGTAGGACTAATATTGCAAATACACCAATGTATCTGGAGTCATCTGACATCTGAGTTGGCAACATTTTGATGGTGTCTTGATCCTTTCCAGAGGTGAAGGCAGATATAAAGAATCATTCCTTCCATGGGCCGAGGTACCACTTTGCCAGCCGAGTCCACGTGTGCGTGTCGTCAGGAGACAGTCCAGCAGGCGTTATTTGGCTCTCCACCTCCAGGTCCCCTTTGTCTAGGGGCTGGAAGCTTTACTGGAGACCAAGGAACAAGTAGGTGCCTCACCCTGGCTTATGTCAAAGCTAGTTTCTTGGACAGTGGCCCAGGCATCTCCCCTTTTCTTCTCTCCATTGTGGCCCACTGCCTGGCTGTTTTATCATCTGCCCTCCAGGCACCTGCTGAAACTTTGGGAAGCAAGGTTCACCCTAAATTCCCAAGTAGAGATTTAAGGCAGGTGGCGCTTTAAACTTATTAGCTGCAAAGCAGCTTACACTATATTTCAGTCTGTTCTGGGATGAATATAAGTCACAACAGTCCACATGAAATAAAACACTAGAACCACAATCAGCAATTGGGACCAAGTTTAGAGCATTACTAAGTCACAGGACTTAGAAGAAAAGGAAATAATGGAATGATTTAAAATAAATCTGCTTTGTTTGGGCAGAGGGCAGCTTTGACTCAGGCATAAATGTGCACACAGATGACCATGTAAATGAAGAACAGACCTCAAAAGTTGACACTTTTTTCCCCACACATCACTCAAAAACAGGACGCATGCTCTCTTTTCCTGCCTGTTTAACGTGTTTTCATGAGGATGTTCCCATAAGTGCTTTCTCCATTCCCACTCAGTCTGTTTTGACTATTGGCTGGAAGGAAACCAGAAACCATTTTCTATAAAAACCACTGTAGTGCATGGCTGTTATGTGTGTTTTCCTCTTTGCATTTTCTGTCCAGAAACAGTTGGCATCTTATTTATGTGCCGAGAGAGACTCATCTGCTGAGTACACAGCACTGTTCATTCGACAGTCTTCTGTCCCCACCGAGTCTGCTAGTTCTTCCTCCTCTGAGTCATCCTCCTCTTCCTCCTCTTGTGCTGATGAACTGGAGGTGGGCCCTTTGCAGGTTTTCAGGTGGCGGGTGAGATGGTATTTGGTTAAATAAGCCTTTGTACATTTTTCACACACATAATCCCGTTTTCCTTCGTGTGAATTAAGATGTTTCTTTAAATGATTTGTTCTCAAGAACAGCTTATCACACTTGGGACACTTGATCTGGCGTTCTCTAAAAAAACACAAGAAAAAAACTCTGATTTGGGGTTAAAATGATGACTGAGGCACACACTTATCTGTATAATCTCAGGCCTTTGTCGGAGCGCTACCATCTAGAACACAGGTGGCAAACACAGGCCCGATCCAGCCCTGTCTCCACCCGGTGGCAGCACGGAGCTCCTCGTGCCCAGTTAAGGTCTAGTTACATGTATACAGTCCTAAAGTTACCTTCTGCCCTCTGAAGGCAACCCTGATGTGGCCCCCAGTGACAATGAGTCTGACACCCCTGGTCTAGAATCACACCTTTTCACATGAGGGATATCATACAGATAAGTCACAAGACATCTGTACAGTTTAAACAGCACCGACTGATTTTGCCTATTTTGAAATTCTATGTAAACAGGATCATACTGTATCTTTTTTGTCTTTTGCTTCTTGCACTCAACATGGCATTTGTGAAATTCCTTCAAGTCGCTGCGGGTACCAGTAGTTTGTTCCTTTCCACTGCTGTTCACTACTTACAAACACACAACTTACCTTTTGTTAATGGATATTTTGGTGGTTTCCAATTTTTTATTACCACAGGCAAGGCTGCTCTCAACATTTATCAACATTTATATGTTGGTTTGCATACGTATGAGTTTCTCTAGGGCATATATATACTCAGGAGCAGTAGAGGTGGATCAAAACACACGCATATCTTCAGTTCTACCAGATAAAGCTAAACCAATTTATTATTTCATTGTATTAACATACAGGTCCATTTGGAGAGTACCTGTTGCCTACATTCTCACCAACAGGTGGAGGGCTCCAATTTGAAAATGTTTGCCAAATGGCCAGTCCGTAATCGTATCTCACTGTGGTGTCCATGGTAACCCCTACAGCAAAAACTATCCAGCTCAAAATGCCAGCAGCGCCAAGATCTGAGTAATCCTTACTCAGACATGTGAGAGCTGAACAGAACCTTAGAGATCACACAGACTAGGGATTTTTTAACTTTTGTTTTTAGAGCATCTGAACTGTACATCTTCATGAAAGCCCAGTATGTGAAACAGATAAAAGGGGGTTAGAATCCTTGAAGGAGTGGCAAGGTGTGGTGGGAAGTTCTGAGGCCTGGCTGCTGTTAGCACTTCCACCACCTTCTCCCAGCAGGAGACGGCACTGGCGGGTTCTGTGGAGCACTACAGGCTGTGGAAAACTAAGGCCCTGTCCTCGTGGAGCTTAAGTGCTAGTGGAGAAGTTACACCATAAACAAAAAATATATAGCATGGTATCAGATAGCAGTAAGTACTATGAAAAACAATGAAGCCAGGTAAGAGTGATGAAGTCCTGTTTTAGGTAGTTTAGTCAAGGAAGGCCATTCTGAGATGATATTTGAACAGAGACCTGAATGAAGGGAGGGACTGAGACAGTACGATATTATGTATGGAAAGAAGTTGCCAGGCAGTGGTTTATAGTACACAGTCCCGAGACTGAAGAGCATTTAGTAAGCTGAAGTAGCAGCAAGGAGAGGGCCCATGTGGCTAAAGCAGAATGTGAGGAGAGAAGGAATAAAAGATGAATTGGGGGAGGTAGCCAAGTACCTCCACCACATCAGGAAGGGGTGTCTGGGCTACAGTGAAGCCCTTCTAACCTGATACGTGAAACAGATAAAAGGGAATGCCGGGAAGCCCACTGGAGACTTACCAGCAGTGATGGGCGCAATATGATTTCTGCTTTAAATGGAGTGCTCTGGCCACCATGGCCAGAAGACAGGCTTTGTGTGTGTGCATCTGTGCAGGTGTGCTGGGGAGTGGATGAGGCGAGAGAAGTGCAGAAGCAGAAAGGTCAGCTGGGAGACGATCGGGTGGTCTGTTCAAAGCACACCAGTGGTCTGGGCTAGTGAATTAAACGGGAGACTGAACTAAAGAGGACCCCAAGGAGGTGGCTTGAGCCACTGGGGTGAATGGTGGTGCCATGTACTGAGCTAGTGAGCACTGGGAAAGTCAAGTTTGTAGGGATAATATTAAGAATTGAGTTTTGGACATACCAGGTTTGAGCTGCCTAGTGGACATCCAAACCTCAGAAATGCTGAGTCAATGGTTAGATACGTAAGACCAGAAATATAAATTATAAAGATGAAATCTAGGCCCTGGCTGGAAAGCTCAGTTGGTTAGAGTGTCCTCATCTGCCAAGGTTGTGGGTTCAATCCCCAGTCAGGGCACATACAAGAATCAACCACTAAAGACATAAATAAGTGGAACAACAAATTGACGTTCTCTCTTTCTCACCCTCCTCTTCTAAAATGAGTAAAAAAAAAAATGTAAACAACTGGAATCCAAAGCCAGGGGACCGAGGAGATGACCTAGGGAGTGTCACTTCTGCTCTCTAGCTCCTTTCTCTCGGGCAGGCAAGGCTGGTTCCGCCACACACCTGTGCCCCCAGAGGAACACTGCGAGAGGGACTCCGCCCTCCTGAGTCTGGCTTCAGGACTGTCGCTATTTTCTTTTCTAAGCAGATAAATAGGATGAATTCCAATACTACTACATCCATTTTGAAATACCTAAAAGTAAAAATACGAACATCTGAAAACGTCTCCAAGGATCTCTCTGTATAGGAAGTCTAATGCCTCATTCAACTCTATCTTGAGTGAACGGTGTTTCTTTGATGAATGACTTGTACTGGTTTAAACTTCAGACAGTCCCAAACCTCTTTCTATTCCATGGGAGGTGGGCAAAGAGGCTTATTGTATCTCATCATCCTAACAAAGAGAGTCCAGATCCACATTTAATAGAACTGTTTTCACTGGTCAATACCTGATAAAGCCAGTCCCAACCCAAATGGTGAAAAAAACAGTTACGCAAAATACAAAATAATTTACATGGCATTATGCTGTGAAATGGCAACAGAAAAAGTGCAAATTTAGGTATCACTTGAAAGAACAGAAAGTCAATGTGAAAGAAGAAAATAACTACTTTATTATACCCCAAATAGTACGTATCTGGAATTTTGTGTTCAGGGCACCAAATTTAAAAGCAGGTGGTAAGGGAAAAAGCTGTAGAAATTAGGAACAGTTGGCCTGATGAAAACAAGGTTTAAAGGAACCATGACACAGTGATTTTAAGTGTGAAAGGCTGTCACTGCAAAAAAATATTAAATTTATGTCATTTATATAAATTGGTATTATTCCAAAGGGCAGCTGTAGAATAAATGGTCAGAGGTTGATACAAGCTTGACTGAAATAACACTTTTCCTCAAAACTATGTGAATGATGTGATATTCGAGAGGAAACAACACAGCTAGTTGCCAAAGACACTGTGGAGACAGGCCCTTCCTTTGGATGAACTCAACAGCTCTCAGGATGAGAGCTACTGGCTGGACATTAGCGTCACTTGGGAAGCTTTAAAAAAAACAAACCACCCAACCCACGGCCAGGGTCCTCCCCCTGACCAACTACATCAGGTGGGGCCCTGACCCCACGGTTGTTCCTCACACTTCCTAGGTGACAACTGTGAGCAGTGTTGTGGGTCACACGCTGGGCCTCCACCTCCAAATGCACATGCTGCAGCCCTAACCTGCAACGTGGTCTGGCATTTGGATATGGGGCCTATGAGAGATGATCAGATTTACATGAGGCCGTGAAGGTGGGACCCCCGTGATGGGAGTAGTTTCTTTATATGAGGAAGAGATGAGCACGAGCTCACTCTCTCCACTACGTGAGGACAGAGCAAAAGGCAACCACCTGCATGGCAGGAAGGGGCCCTCATCAGAAGCCACCCATGCTGACACCCTGACCTCAGATTTCCAGCCTCGCAAAGTGTAAGAAAACAAATTTGGTGCTTACGCCAGCCAGTCTATGGCATTTTGTTACGGCAGCTTGAGCTGACTAATATAAGAAGCGAGACTAAGTGGTCCCAGAGATGGCTCTTTCAGCTCTAGTACTGTACAGTTCTAACTGTGTTTGATAGCGTGTCGAATTTCTAAAATTTTACACTAATAATTAAAGTACTAATAAGAATGTTTTCAATGGTCATTTGAAAAGTCAGAAACATGGATCTAGACTCTCTGGATGTTTCAGTGTTTCAGGTTGCAATGTGATCAGGAATCAGACAAAGGGGCGGATATGAAAGCCAAGTATTTATCTAAACCCGACAGTAATATCAAGTTTTCATTAAAGACAGATTTCTAAAGAGCACCTCCATAACATGAAAGTTACTATTTTCTCCATCTTCTGACACTTGCTAAAGGCTCAAGACCACAAAATCTCTTCTCCCTACAACTACTGTGGCTAATGCAGGCTAGGCATTTGATTACACTGGGGTTCATGCCATGAATTCCTCCTGAAATGTGGACACCTCCTCTTTCAATCACCCTGCCATGATGCCAGAGCGACCCTTTACAGACAGACATCTCACCACGACATCCTCTTCCTTCAAACCCTTCAACGTTCCAAACAACATGAGCACAATTAACATCATTCAACTGTACATCTGGAAATAACAGTACAATTCCCGCTTTTTATCATAATTAAAATACACGCACACACCCACACCTCAACACACAGCAGTGCCCAGTACACGGGGAAGAAAAATCCTCCGGTGGACCCCCATTATCTGCAGAACAAAGCTTCACTTTCCTAGCTGGGTAAAAGGTTCTTCATGACGCGGCTGCCACCTGTCTCCACAACCCCCACAGGCCCGCCATGCTCAGACTATGAAGTGCCACCTGCACCCCACAGGCCCCTGCACCTGTGTTTGCACCTATGTTTCTAAATGTGCCGTTCCCGCTGTGTAGAATACTACTCCCATCCTTTTCTCTGCTTTGCCTCCCTGAATAATTCTGATTTACCTTGTTCAACACTTAACTGCCAAAAACCCTGCCCAGGACAGCCCAGGCTGGGTTAGGCGGGTCTTCTAGAGTCTTCCAGAATGCAGTGCTTACCAACAACTGCAACACAGCACGGCGAGTGTGCTGCTGTGTTTCTGTCCTGGACTCTGAGCTCTTTAAAGACAAGGGCTGTGACTCTCATCTCTGTTCCACCACTAAGCACCCCCAGGAGGAACTTAAAGTATTTGTTAAGTAAGATTTTGTTTTTTAAATATGAATAAAAGTAAACAGAGAGTAAAAGTGAAAAATAAAAACAAAGCAAACAAGTGGAGCCTTCCAGAATAAAACCAAAACTGTAGTTTTCTGCCCGGTGCTTCGCTATGTGGGACACGGGAGACAGAAGACAGGTCCGCCCCGGTGCTCGCCCCCGGAGGAGCATCTGGCCGGGGGTGACTTACTGTGTATGGATGAGCACGTGCTGCTTGAGGTCCTGCCTCCGCATAAACAACTTGTCACAATAATCACACTTGAGATTCTTCTCACCCGTGTGGATAACCATGTGCGACTCCAGGTGAGCCTTCTGGGTGAAAGACTTGTCACACAAAGTACACCTGTAGTTCTTCTGACCTGCACATGAACCCAAATCATCACACTGTGAGTGAAACAACCATCAGCACTCTCAAGATAAACAGGCGCACACGAGTGTGTGGAAGAGGCAGGAATAAAACAGAACTGACTGGCAGCTGGAACTTCACTTTCTAGGGCCATCTACTTAGAAGCACTCGGAGCCACTCAATGTACATTCTACAACTAGCGCTAGTGAAGTGAATAAATCCGATCCCCTTCTAGGACTGCTAACATCTATGTATTTTAAAAAATGTTTATAGTAGACATGATATAAAACCTGAAAAAAAAATCACATAATCCTAGGGGCAAATCTATAGGTAAACATATTTTTACAACCTAAATTTACAGTTTTCTCTCTTTTTTTAAACATACAACATGACCTCATAAAACAGGGATGAAATATAAAATTCTTCTTAGAATGAGGAAATATGATTATGCTAAGTCAGGGGTTGGCAAACCTAAGACTAGTCAGTATTTTAAGCTTTGTGGGCCATATAGTCTCTATTGTGACTACTCAGTCTTAATGCAAAAGGATGAAGAATATTACTTTCAAAGATTTGGAGAGCAAATAACCCAGCCAAGAAAACTAAAACTTCATCAGTTATTTTGTAGTATGTATGACCAAAAAAGGCCTACGAACACGGAGGTTGGTTTGCACGTAGTTTAGAATATGGAAATTCAAAAGCAAAGCTTTGCCGGGTTTACCGAGCAACATTAATGGGAGCAAACCTGGCTCTGGCTGGGGAGCAGGTGGAGCTCTAATGGTAGGCTCAGGCTACTCCCATAGAATTCCCTCAAGTTCAAACAAATGGGTTAACTTCCTGGTTATGAACTGCACTTTCCCAGTCACCTGGACACCTGGCAAGTGGAGTTTCCTCAGCAGTGACCCCCTCTGAGGAAGCACACCTATCCCCCCAAGGTCTACCACACTCACAGTCCTGCTGACTGCCAGCGGGATGGGTTCTCCAACATCTTACCTCAGCTCCACCTGCAAGACTATCTCACTGCAAAGCCTTAACTGCTGCAGTTTCTCATTGCTGCAAAATCCCACTTTGATGGTCCAATACACTTACCTGTATGTATCTTGAGGTGGGTCCGCAGGTTGCTGGGATCACTAAAAGCCTTGCTACAGAAATCACACTTGTGGGGCTTCATACCCATGTGACCCATAAAGTGGACATGAAGTTTGGAAGGAGAGATAAAAGCCTGGGGGCACATCGAGCACTTCCACTTCCTCTCTTTGCTGTGGCCTGGCCCGTGGCTGCTGCTGTGGCCCTGGCTTGGAAGATGGTTATGGATGTGGCTGGTCAGGTGGGCTTTGAATTCTGTGTAGGAATTGCATTCCTTGCCACAGTTACAGAGGTGCACATCTGGGTGTTCAGGAACACCTTTAAAAACAAAAATCATTCCATATGTCCTGATACTTAAATGTTAAAACTTACTCTTGATATTAATTGTTGCTTACAATTTTCCCCTTCTCCCCAAATTTCCAGCTTGCCCACTATCTACGAAAATAAAATGTCTGTTCAGTGCTCTATTCCCAGCCTCTCAAATCGTGCCAGGCAGAGGAAGCACTTAGTAAATACTGGACTATAAGGCATATTTCCTAGGCAAAAAAAAAGAAATTAAGATTCTGTAGCACATACAAACTCATAAAATCCCTTGTCATCATGCATCATCATGACACAGTGCACAGAAAAAGCCCATGAAAGTTGAATCCATTCAAGGAGCTTTGCTGTCCTCTATGAACTTCAATCACAACAGTACTGGCTCAGAAGACAGCCTGTGGAACTTCAAATTCCCCAAATCAAAGTCCTAACACAAAGGTTCACTTCATAAAATACTGTTTGGTCAGTAACATTCAGCTAAGAACCTCACAGATTTTAACACTTTTAACAGAGGGGTCCATACCCTGCCTTTATATATACAAAGGTTATACAATTCCTTTCCACTGACATTTAAATCATTACCAAAACTTTATTTTTGGCCTTGGTGTTTTTACTACACCAGATTCATAACAAACAAGTCTTACATGAACTCACCAATCTGCTGAGCATAATCCCGGCTGTAATAAAAAAGCAGTTCATTTTCTGGAGGGATATCTTGTGAGGTGCAGAAATAAATTTTTCCATCGTGGGGATAGGCCACCAAATTCTGCTCTTCCCGGTTCCTAGGTTATCACATTGAACATATAAAGCATATTAATTTGGAAACACATACTAAACACATCATATCCTGATAGCAAAATCCTCTATGAAAACTTAGATATAAGTTTGCTCTGTGTCATTTTTCTAATTCCATGTCCTACCTATAAGGTATCTGCATATAAACAGAATTCTTTCTTTAGTACATAAGTTTACTGCCCTTTACAGTTAGAAACACTAGAATCTGCTGCTGAAAACAAGAAAAATAAATAAATTAAGTCTTTACAGAAAACAACATGACAGGAGGGTCGGGGGAGAAGATGGTACAGGGGAGATAAATGGTGGTGGGAGGAGACTTGACTTGAAGTGATGAACAGACAGTACAATATACAGATGATGTATTATAAAACTGTATACCTGAAACCTGTGTAATTTTATTAACAATGTCACCCTAATAAATGTAATAAACACGAAAATAAAAAAATTTTAAAAACCAGTATGACAGAGACACAGAGGTAGATAGCTGAACATTAATCACAACTAATGGTCAACAGAATGAGAAGGCATTCCCCGGAACGTTCAGCAGTAACAGTATCATTCCTTATTGCACTGGTAGTGTGGAAAATTGGGAAAAAGGACAGTTTCTTGTATTTCCATTTATAATCACCATTAGTCAACGACTACCGGAGTAAAGAAGGTGAAAAGCCTTGGGCCTTACAGTGTGCGCACAGAGCAGTGTAAGTCCTATTCTCCATCACTTCCCCATACGTCACAAAGCTTTCTATTGAGAAGATTCTGAATCGTAACAATTTCTTCTATCCACGCCTACTCTTACTTACCTGGCTTTGCGCACAAACATCATCCAATTACATTCATTTTCATCAGTTGTAACAATGCAGAATTCAAGGACACCATTGTGGTATATCTGCCAATGGAAGGCAAATGAACACATCAAACGAGCTGACAAGCAACACAAAACGGTCCTAAATTAAGGCTAGCATTCTCCTGTACTTTGCAGTAGGGACTAGACGTTTGTCATTTCACCAGTCCCCCGACTTCCAGCAATTGGATAAAGACCATCAGAGATCTACGATTAATGTTCAGTGTATAGATAGACAGTATTCTTGATTATACACATTTTTGCTTGACTGGAAAAAAAACAAAAAACCAGTCAACTTGTTTTCATGACCTACATGGCACTGAATGAACTTTGAGGTGAGAGAAGCCTCTCTTTGCAATGAACCTAGCATTCTTCTTTGTTCCCCTTTGGATACCAGGATCAAGGTTCCCAATACCAGTGGCTCCTTACTTTCCAATTATCACTAGACCCACCTTCCCCTCACTTCAGTTTTAAAGCATCATTCCCAATCTACCGAAATTCAATATAAAAGTGTTCACAGGACATGCTATATCAAATCCTTGTGTTTCTAGCCCTCCCTTTAAAAAACTAGAGAAACAATCTTAGCTTCTAATTCTAGAATTGTTTCCCATGCTAAAACATTTAAGGAATGTTTTAGTCAATTATAAAACAAGACTTTCATCATATAAACAAAGCCTATAGCCTTGGCTGGTCACAGGTAATTAAAAAGCAGACTCATTTGATTACCTAACAAAATGGAGACGAACACAGTTTACCCTCTATACTCAACAGTTGGTGTTTTGCCATGTAATATTATCACTTGATACCAAGAACAGAAAGGCTGTGATGTTAAACAAATGACTGACAGTGCACAGCATTTGCTGACTTCTACATCACTTTTAACTACCTCATTAAAATGCAAACGTCCAGAAGTCACACACAAGTTTCATAAACACTGACCTTCCAGATATGGTTAACTGCCTTGTCTGTCCATTCTGCTACTTCCATGGAATGACTCTGCTGGCCAATGAGAGGCCCAAAGCAAGTCCGCACAGGAATGGTTTCACCAGTCCACACACCTGTCAGTAGAAGGACACCACCTACACAATCAGTGATTTAAACATCTCGGAGGATACGGGAGAGAAAGTAGCTTAAGTCATGCAAAGAATCTTATTTTCAGCGAGCCTAAGGAATTCTGATATTCCAGAACCCCTAAGAGGTAGCTAAGTCTTATGGGTATATCCTGTAACTATGGAAAATTTAGTGAACAGATTAAATGGGGCTCAGAAGAAATATGCAGAGTAAGAAGTGGGATCAGAAATTCCTAAACCCAGTTTTATACACAGGAGCCAAACCACATCCCTCCAAATATGTTATTTTGGAGTAACTACATTAAAAGACTAAAGAATATTATTATTATAAAACTACAGAGCAGCCCTGGGTGGTGTGGTTCAGGCTGTCCCATAAACCAAAAGGCCACAGACTGAATTCCTGGTCAGGGCACGTGCCTAGGCTATGGGTTCAGTCCCTGGCCGGGGTGTGTACAAGAGGCAACTGATTCTCATACTGATGTTTCTCTTCCCCCTCTCTCCCTCCCTTCCCCTCTCTCTAAAATCAATAAGCAAGTCCTCTGTGAGGATTTTTAAAAAGTGCGTGTGTGTGTGTGTGTGTACAGCGCAACTGCTACAAAATACATCAAACTTCTAAAACTGTGCTTAAAGCACTGCTGTATATTATCTAAGCTGTTTGATGCTTTCGATTGACATCACGCCCAAGCCATAGCTGAAAGAACAATGAACTCTGACTCATATTTTCAAAGAAATGGCACAGCACGTCAAAAACCATGTTGAAAAGTCAAATATGGGTAAGCATACTTGGGCGGTCCTTATTCCTTATTCCTAGGGAGTATTAGACAATCTACAAACATTTTATCTAAAAATATCTTTTGTTATACATGGTAATCAGTGGTGAATTTCCCACATTTCTGTAAGAGAAAGAAGTTCAAGGAGTGTCTTGTCATGGAAATTGTTCATGGATAATACAGCCAAGAATAAAAGCGGAGCCTTCAAAGACTCGGACCAGGATTCTCTTCTCTATTCAATCCTGACTGTAAGAAAGGGGATCATAAGCCATAAGTTGACTTCTGGTCAACCAAATAACCGCTGAATTACACGTGTCCACTTTTAGGACTCCCCCTCACAAAGAGAGGAGGGACTCGGTGAGGCTGTGCAGCGCCATGGGTCTTACCAACTTCCGCTCCCACGATTGACTGGCGGAGAACCAGCTGCTTTGGGAGAGAAAGCCTTGCTCTGCTCTCTATGGGAGTGTCAGGAACAAAAGTCACCGGTCCGTGATCAGGGCAGTCTGAGGGGTAGGCTCGGTCACAGAGTGTGCACCCTACAGGTGGGAAATTTGAGAAACACAAATGGGGTCGGTCACTTCAAGCAGGCTAAAGTACCACCTGCTTTTCTAGTTAAACACTAATTACTAAACTGTAACCAGGAAGAAGCAAGGTTCTAGGAGAAATACTCTAATCAAAAACACTACTCTCTTACACTAAAACACACATCCACTCTTATGTCTCTCTTTAGCAAGATGAGATTTTTTTCCCTTTTGATTTTATTCAGTGCATAACAGAAAAACATAAAAAAATAGCATGATATTAAAGAATCAAACAGTCATCCCCGGGCACATCTTCCCATATATTAAAACATCTCTAGATTACTTATAATACCTAATACAATGTATTATTTGTAATACCTAATAAATAGGCAGCCGCACCACTGACCTCTTTTGCTTCACTATAAACAGACTGGTCAACCAGATTTTGATGGCAGATTCTTAAGCCAAAAAAATATTTACAACCTGCTCTTTGGGACAGCAGGTGGAATATATCCTTGCAGCAGACAAATTAGCTTCAAGTTCTTACAATCATTCACATGGCCTTCCTTTCTGCACTGTCAGAGAAGTGCGTCCTGTGCAGACTGCTGTCTGTGCTGACAGCTTCACCTTTACAAGCTCGTAAGTGTCCTTCTCCATAAATCTGCTGCTGTATTCTCTTACTTTTCCTTCTCTCTGTAAAGGAGTAGTATTCGTGACCCTATTAGCCAATAACTGAGTTCACACTTTCCAAACTTGTTCACAAATTAAGTGGAACCTGTAAACCTTAGAACCACAGCCATCCAACTGCCTTTTCTTCAAGCAATCCATTAGAAGTTTCTACTAAATAGAATAAGGTATTAGTAAGTTTTCATATCACAGAACAGTAATAACCTATCACTTCAACTACTGATTGATTAAAAATTGGAATATCAGATTAGAGATTCCCTATCCTTGATAAGAATTGATTCTTAACAAGACGGGGACCACCTCCAAAGAGAATTCAGGTTTCATATAGCAAAAAACAAAATGCCTGGAGGTTCCTCCAAACATACAAAGAGCCAATAAATCACGTAAAGACATTCAACATCACTAGTCGTTAGGAAAACGCAAATCAAAACCACAGTGAGACGCCACTTTACTTCCACAGGATGGTTATGATGAAACAGAAAGCAAGCACAGGCAGAGGTGTGGAGAAACTGGAACCGTCCTCACACACCAAGGCTGGAAATACGAACTGGTGAAGCTGAAAAACTCTGGCAATTCCCCAAAAAGTTAAACACAGAGCAATTCTCCTTTTAGATATGTGGATGGGGCAAAAGTAGGTTTAAAGCTGTAAGTACATGAAAGACAGAGTTTATTTTTGTATTATTTATTATTGCATTATTTTCCACACAAACTATAAACCTACTTTTGCCACACCCTGTATATCCAAGAGAATTAAAAACATGTTCACACAGAAACTTGTATAGGTTGGGGCAAAAGGTTTACAGTTTTGAATACACAAAAGACTTCATTCTTGCATTTTATTTATGAATTATTGTATTATTCTCCATACGAGCAACTATAAACCTACTGTGACCCCACCCTGTACACGAAAGTTCATAGCAGCATTATTCCCAATAGCCAAAAAGGAGAAAGCACCCGAATGTCCGTGGGTGATAAATGGATAAATACAATGTGGCATGTGCACACAATGGGCTCTTACTCATTCGCAGGAAGGAATGAAGTACTAACACCTGCCACACAACAGATGAGCCATGACAACATTATGCTAAGGAAAAGCCAGATGCAGAAAGCCACATACCGCGTGATTCCATGTATATGAAACATCAGTAAGCAAATCCAGGAGGACGGAAAGTAGATCAGTGGTTACCTGAGCACAGGAGGGGAAGGAGGGACTGGGCAGTGAGTGGTTGCTAATGGGGTTTCTTCATGGGATGATAAGTATGTTTTGGGATTAGATAGTGGTAACAGTTATATAACCTCGTCAATATACTAAAAATCACTAAACTGTACACTTGAAAAATGTGTATGGTAAATTATATCTCATTTTATAAAAACACATTTAGAAGCGAGAGGTTTTGCTTGCCACTTTAAAGAGGATCAATAGGGCGCTGGCCTCTGAACCACAGGGTCACTGGTTCAATTCCCAGTCAGGGCACATGCCTGGATTGCAGGCTGAGTCCCCACCAAGGCATGCAAGACACAACCACACACTGATGCTTCTCTTCCTCCTTTCCCCTCTAAAAATAAATATTTTTAAATTAAAAGTAAATTCATAAAAGGATCAGTAGGCTAATTTAGGCCATCCCTTATCAATTAACGACCCTACATTACATTCCCAGATTAAAATACTTAAAATTATAAATTTGAGATTGGAAAGGTTAATACGAAGGTCTCCCTACTGCTTGGCTTCTGCAGCACCAGAAGCCGCATCCTACTTTCCCGGCTCTCCCATTCAGTCGCCTTCAGAAGCTCTTCCTCTGCTGCTGTATCTTGACATCCCCAGTCCTCCTATCACTCCACACTTACTGGATGATCTCACCCCATTTCCATGGCCATGACTAACACCTTCATGCTGAAGATCCCTAAATATTTCCAGACAGACAGATCTCTGAGCTCAAGATTCAACTTCTCATTAGACATCTCTACTGGGTATCTTACGGACACCGTAAAGCCAGCGTGTCTAACACTGGACTCACCATCACTGCTCCAAAAAAAAATCTATTCCTCCTTCATCAATCATTATCCTAAGGCATAGTACCACTATCCACCCAGTTTTCTGAGACAAAAACTAGGGTTTTCTCCTTAACACTTCCCTCCTCCAGCTTCATCCAGTCAAGGTCTGGTAAGTTCTTACAACTATCCTACACTTTTCCTCATCCTTATTACCTCTACTCTAGGTTGGAAAATTATGTTTCACTTAAATTATGGCACCATCTTCCTTACCGACTTGCCTCCAATAAACTAGTTATCCTCACATCACCCCATCCCTCACTCCTTACAATCCTTCGTATTCTGGCTCCTTCTTTCATCACATACCCCTCATCTCGGCCCCTGCCCCCATTTTATGCTTCAGCAATTCCGAACCACTCATGATTCTTTTAGTTCTAGGCACCTAAGGGAGGCCAACTCCTGATTCTCAGCTGCCAACATCTTTCTTGTCCTTCAGGTCTGTGCTAACATGCATGTTACCTCCCCCAGTAAGTTTCCCTGCTCCTTCCATGACCCCGTCCTCAGGCTCCTTTAGCACGCTGCACTTGATCCCAACCTGCACTTATCTGTACTGCAATGGCCTGTTTCCTGGCCTATGCTTCCCATCAGACCACAAGCTCCTTAAAGACTTGTGCTGTCTCCTGTAGACCATTTCCTCTCCAGCATCTAGCACAGAGGCTGGTATATAATATACCATCAACATGTTTCCTGTATAATGAAGCATGTACTGAAACCAACAAACTGGCTATTTTATACTTTTATACAAAAATAACTTTCACATGCCCAACTTTATGTACATTCTAAGCAAAAACAAAATTGCATTTGTAACCACCTACATTTCTCCATGGGGATAAAAAAGTACTTATGATGTAATACATTTTGCCTTACGTTGAAAGAGCATGAGGCAGGTCACACAGGCTACCTTAGAATAAATTCAAGTTTATTCCTATAATTAATTCTCTACTACTGAAACCTTCTGAAATACCTTACATATTACTGAGCTAAGCTCATCTGTAAATTACAGAAATGACTATGTCTCCTTACTTTGGGAGGAAATTGAAAAACCAATGAAATGTCTATATATCATTTGGCTTACTTCAGGAAAACGTACATTAATATAAAGAACACTACAAAGGCAAAGAAAATTTGCAAAGCCTAGCTACTTTCTATACTCCTTTAACACCTGACTATGTGACTATGCCTATTAGGGATGATGGCCCTTTCCACCAATATTTCCAAAAGAAAAAGGCTATGCACACTCACAAATTGTAAACAAGGTTGCCATATTTTCCTTGTTTGAATTGGAGTCTTCCATTTGCAGTGAAGGTGGTACAAAAGAAAGACTGTCTGAAGACACATCTACATGACCTGTCCCCATAGCAACCTCCTGGGTGATGGAGGAGACAGCCACAGGTTCTAGGCTTAGGCCAACTTCATGGAGGGAAACAGATTCTAGGGAGGCGAGGTTGTGTGAGGTAGAGAGTGCCACGCTTACAGAGTTGGTGCTCATGGCCACGGTGTGGATGGAGTCACTGAGGGCACTGTCAGACATCCCGTTGACCCGACTTGCAATGTGGTCTGTTTCCATGACCACAGGGAGCTCCAGGCCATTCCCATGAATGGGTATCACACCACCATGTCCTACAGTGTCTGCTGCAAGGTTGTTGCTCACAGAATCCACAGACAGAGGTTCATGACTTCTGGAGCCACTAGGGATTTGAGCATGCTCGCCTGCAACACCGTCCATTGTAAGCTCTTCTGCCATTCCATCTGTAGAGATGGGGCTGGTAACCCTAGACACGTTCTCCATAGTGATTGCTGTGTCCAAGGCCACTTCGTGGCCATCACTGGGATGAAGACTTTGGGCACCATGTGTGTTCACCGAGCGAGAGTCTATTGAAACAATGCCTTGTTCTAATCCAACATTTCCATTGGACTGATAGGGATCCAGTGCTGAAGGGTTATTGGCGATAGATAATGCTATATTACCATCGACATTTATAGAGTTGGGATGGATGTACTGAGGAGGCGGTCTGTCGGCTAAATAAGATAAAATGCCTGAGAAAAGGAAAAGATGAGATAACAGAGGAAGTTTAGTACATTGTTAAACAAAGAATTCCATATGCTAGAAGCTACAAAATAACTAAATTAGTCTCCCAGCTACTTCTTTGATTTACTATGTGTGTGTGTGTGTACACCTCAAAAAGAGCAACATGCATATACCATAGTTCAGTTCTTCCTGTGAAACTAAGAAATCATAAAAAATTAACTATGTTCCTTTGAAGTCACTGGAAATTAATCATTTAAATACTGCCTTTACTATATACGTGGTTGGAATTCCTGAGTCCTAAGATGCTGTAATTTGCTCTATAAGAGTTCAAAGGTAAAAAATTATTTAAAAGCAGATCTTCTATGTGAAAAATAAAATTTAATTAAATATAATGACTTACCGAACTATCATAACACACTGGGCTCTATTCAAAACACGTCACAACTGTGCCTGCTTTATTAAAACAAAAAAATACCCAAACACTGCGCTTCTGAGGGTGCAGTGAGGCGCTGCCTGCCGCGTGGCGAGCGGGAGTGCGCTCCACTAAAACCTCTCTGGAAAGGACACGTATCAAGCACCTCAAAAACATTCATGCCCTCTCACATAAGAAATTCCACTTATGGTATTATTCCCTAAATGCATTTTGTAAAGATTATACACAAGGATAATGGTAATAAAAAATGGAAAAACCAAACTGCCCCAAAATAAAGGCTGATATAATAAACTATGAAATATCCATTCAGTAGAATGTAATGCACCACTAAAAAGGATATTATGAAAACTGTGTAGCAACTGGGGAAAATAACTGTAAAAACAGAGAAAAGTATTAAGTGAAAAAAGTAGATACACAATTATATAAGAAATAGTATTAATAACAAAAAAACAGTAAAATCTATGTACCAAAACAAAAGATAGGAAGGAAATATACCAAAAATATGGATTATGAGTGGTTCCCTATCTGCTAGATTATCTGAAAGAGTAAACAATACTTTTTTAACAGAATAAAAATTCAATAAACGTTATAATAAACAAGACACTGTAGCAGGACATATGGCTGGCAGGCATTACAACTGCAGAATTATAAAGCTGACCCAAGGAGATGCTGGAGGAGAGGGGAGAGAACTGCTTATGTGCCATTAGGAAATGAAGCTTAGTCAGACTGCTATACTAATAATGTGTTCCCTGTACATTCCAAGAGGAAAAGTAGATACATATAGACAGATGGCTTTTTCCCACCTAGATATTTGTCTCATCATGATAAACGAAAGTGTTATTCAAGTCTGCATGCACTGAGGTTGCGTCAGCCCTATTTTTTCCTCTAACTTCCCAAAGAACTATAATGCTTACCAGGTAGAATGGTTCTGAAGTAACTGCTCTCCAGGTGGGGGTACGGTGGTGGAGGTAGGGTGTAGTTTCTTTCAGGCAGCCCGCACATCACCCCTCGATCGCCAATACCCATTGGAAGCATCAGAGACAAAGCAGAAGGCAGAGAGCTCAGGGAGGGACCCAGGTTTGGAATCGCCACTGGCAGGCCTACAAGAAAATGTTCTCAATTAAAAGGAAATAAGGCCTCTAACCATTAGGCTATACGTCTGAAAGTAAAAATAATACTGAATATAAACTATAACTGAAAAATAAAATTTTAAAAAGTACTTACAAAGTCTCTCTACAGTCACTGGCTAACCTCTTAGGCTGGTACACGTGGGCAGAAATTTCACCTAGTAACCCTTCACATCCCACACAGGCACATCCACAAATAGGTAGTAAAGTTAGTTCTCAAAGTTATAACGTTTTAAAATGCCGTACTAATCCTCCATTGTCCTACATTGCTCTTTTTCTTTTTAAAGTATTGTTGATTATGGTATTATAGTTTTCCCAATCTTTCCCTCTGCCCTGCACCCCTCAACCCTCCAGCATTCCCCACCTTAGTTCATGTCCATGAGTTGTACATATAAGTTCTTTGACTTGTTTCCTATACCATTCTTTTCCTCTACCCATCTATTTTTATGCCTACCAATTACGCTTCTTCTTCTGTGTACCTTTCCCCATTCTCTCCCTTCCGCCTCTCCACTGAAAACCTTTCATATAACATCCATTTCTCTGATTCTGTTCCTTCTGTAGTTGTTTGCTCAGTTTTTTTCATTTTTTTATGTTATTGTTGATAGTTGTGAGTTTGTTGTCATTTTACTGTTCGTGGTTTTTAATCTTCTCAATTTCTTAGATAAGTCCCTTTAACATTTCATATAATAAGGGCTTGGTGATGATGAACTCCTTTAACTTGACCTTATCTGGGAAGCACTTTATCTGCCTTCACATTCTAAATGATAGCTTTGCTGGATAGAGTAATCTTGGATAGGTCCTTGCCTTTCACGGCTTCAAATACTTCTTTCCAGACCCTTCTTGCCTATAAGGTTTCTTTTGAGAAATCAGCTGATAGTTATGGGAACTCTTTTGTAGGTAACTCTCTCCTTTTCTCTTGCAGCTTTTAAGATTCTCTCATCTTTAATCTTGGGTAACTTCATGATGATGTGCCTTGGGTGTGTTCCTCTTTGGGTCCAATTTCTTTGGGACTCTCTGAGCTTCCTGGACTTCCTGGAAGTCTATTTCCTTTGCCAGATTGGGGAAGTTTTCCTTCATTATTTGTTCAAATAGGTTTTTAACTTCTTGCTCTTGTTCTTCTCCTTCTGGCATCCCTATAATTCTGATGTTAGAGTGTTTAAAGTTGTCCTAGAGGTTCCTAATCCTCTCTTCTTTTGAACTCTTGTTTCTTCGTTCTGTTCCAGTTGGATGTTTACTTCTTCCTTTTGTTCCAAATGGTTGATTTGAGTCCCGGTTTCTTTCACTTCACTCTTGGTTCCCTGTATATTTTGCTTTATTTCACTTTGGGTATCCTTCATTTATTCTTTCGCTTTGCGACCAAGCTCAATCAGTTCTGTGAGCATTCTGAATACCAGTGTTTTGAACTCTGCATCAGACAGGTTGGCAACCTCAGCCCTTAGCTCTTTTTCTGGAGCTTTGATCTGTTCTTTCATTTGGGCCATATTTCTTTGTCTTGGTGCACCTGTTATGTTGTCAGGGGCTGCGGCCTCAGGTATTTACCCAGGTGGGGCAACCCTCTCTGCTGCATTGTGGTGCTGTCTGTGGGGGAAGGGTCAGAGAGGGAAAAATGTGGCTCTAGCCCCACTTCCCTATGGACTCTGTTGTGTGAGACTGGGAGTTTCTCCCACATGGCAACCCCTGCAGTAGTTTACAGCTATCTTTCAGTCTCTAGTTTCCTGTTCAGCCAGCCCTGCCTTGCCCACGCAGTCCGCCGCCTTGCCTCAAGTCCTCTCAGCCAGCCCACCTCACCCCCTGGGCTCGCAGCCTTGCCGTGAGTCCTTTCTGCTTGGCTGCCCACCTACCGATCTTGGTGAACATTTCTTTAACTCCTTAGTTGTCGGAGTTCCATGCAGTTTGGTTTTCTGGCACTTCTGGTTGTTTACTGCTTTTAGATTGGTTGTTATCCTTCTTCTGGTTGTGCAAGGAAGCGAAGTGTTTCTACCTACACCTCCATCTTGGCCGGAACTCTCCTACATTGCTCTTAAGTACCAAACATTTAATTACAACTAAAAACCTAGCTTAAGTACAATTTGAGTAAACAAATTATACAGAGATACAAAAATGGGAAGAAACATACCAAAGTTCATAGAAGTGGTCTCTGAGTAGTGATATTACAGGGCTTCAGAAAAAAGATTTTTTTTTTTAGTTTACTATAATTTCCATTTCGTACAGTGAGAATGTTTCACTTTTAAAAATTCACAGGTATGCTTCACTTGGAAAATAACCTAGAGATAGATGCAAAACTGTGTACACATACTCTCATAGAGTTTTCTGCATGTATGATGTACTTCATGGTTAAACATTATAACCCTGAGATTATATCCACCTGGAAGTATATCTATCTGCAAAGTGCTGGAGGGACTCTAACTGTGCCTAAGTGTCATAATTTACACTCACCAACTCAGACAATGCTGAATTGCATTATATTTGCCAGTGGCAATATTTGCTAATAGGCTTTTCCTCCTTAACAACAGTGTCCACTAAAGGGAAGAATGCCTAAGAGATAATCAAATGAGGTAAAAACTAATTTTTGAAAAGTTTTTATGGACACTTAAAGGAATATAAAGAGGCCATAGTTATGATGAAACTTATTTAACTGCTCCATTTTAGTAATTAAGCAAGTAATTCTCTATAGGGAACTATTTAAACAACTTACAGATTTAAATACTCTTAAACATTAACTCCTATTTTGATAAAGACGGTCCAATACATTCCAGTGCCGTAGATCCTTAAGAATCACTAGCTTACTTGTTTCATAGAAAAAGAAAATTAATCTAGGCAAATAAAAAAGGTTTTAAAAGCACAGTGACAGGGGAAGTGAGCTTCTCCTACACTCTCATTCTCTCCAGTCACTGAGTTCTGTGGGCGTCCCACACAAGAGCTCCGTCCCTGGTGGCTTCCCTTCACCCATAATTCTAGGTGTATCTGCAGTTGTCAATTTCGGATGCAGTAGAAAAAAAGTTCAATGGCTCATGCTAAGAACATTTATTAGAGTAACTTTGATTATCCTCTACTAACCCAGGGAAAGAGAGCCTGAGAGTGTGAACTGACAATAGGCAATCGGACATAAAATGCCAAGTCAATTGCAGCTCCACACAAAAGGCCACCAGCTGAGGAAGACTATCACAAAAAATGGCTACTCCTGTCCACCAGAATCCAATTCTCTCCAAAAACGTGTTCTCCCACTGCGCAACCACATGTGAACAGCCATTCAGACCTGCTTGGCTTCTCCCTTCTACTTTTAAAGAGGCTCTGACCCCGACTGGGCTCTCTTTAGAACTGATAATGCAGTAAGTGTTGAAATTCAGTCACTGTCCCTTACCACTCACCTGGGGCAGGGATGGCATTGTGAGTGGGGGAGGCAGCCAACCCCAGGTGACTCCCTGAGACTGGCAAGGCATTGCTCACAGAGGATGAAGTCAGCTGCTCCATCCCCACTGGACTCAGGTTCATTTCATTCATCCTAAGAAAGAGCACACATAACTAGTCATGGAAACAATTACCTCAGTGACTGTTTCTTCAAGGTACTAAAGAACCTGAACCTATAGGGTGGGGAAGTGGGTATTTCATTTTTATGCTCACAACACGGACACAGCTAGTGTCCCATTTTTTCTATTGACAAGGGACCTGGGATTCGAGAGACAGTAACTAAGTCAGTCAATGTCGTACAGCACAAACAGGATCGTGCCCTGTTTCAATCAGATGTGCCTTGTTCTAATCTAAATCCTATGCACACTACCTAAAGCAAAGTTTATACTCCCAAGAGCACACTGGCAATGAAACTGGTTTGCTGTGTTATTTTTTAATCATCCAAGTTTTTTCTTGCACAAGATTTGTTTTCTTTAACTGGCTTATTATTTTAAACCAGGACTTCAATAAGCAGGTTGTTTTAATCTACCCAAAGAATATTTGCTAGTTCTTTTTACCAGGAGTTAAAATGATACTGGATCTGAATTAGATTATCAATGGTGTGAAAAAGCACCATATTTTCTCACGGATCAGCATTTTATTAAAATTCTGTGTCAATATTTTAATTAATTAATAACATCCTCCACATATCAAGGTTTGTTATGTAAGATTTGCTAGATATTTTTTAAAAATTACTTCACCCTGGCTGGTGTAGCTCAGTAGATTGAGCGCGGGCCTGCGAACCACACGATCGTGGTTCGATTCCCAGTCAGGGCACATGCCTGGGTTGCAGACCAGTTCCCTGCAGGCCAGTTCCCAGCAGGGGACGCACAAAAGGCAACCATACATTGATGTTTCTCTCCCTCTCTCCTTCCCCCCCTTCCCCTCTAAAGATAAATAAATAATAAAATATTTAAAAAAAAAAAAGAAGTAAGGCTGAAGCTTTAAAAAAAAAAAATTACTTCATATCTCACTTCTTCAAAATAAGGTAGATAAGGAAACTGAGTCTCAAAGAGCACAAGTTTTAATCCCCAAATCACACAACAATTAAGTGCAAGAGCACAGATTATGCTGCAAAATACTGATAAAAAGTTTTTCAACACATCAACTTTATTTTATCAACAAACCATTTCTGGCAGGCAGAAGAATCTGAAATTCACATTTTCTATACAATCCACGTTGCATTTCCGTTAACAATACAATTAGAATAAGAGTAATACTGATTTGAATAAGATATGTATTGGAGGTTTTTATCAATAAGTATCAGAATTTATAGGCTGCCATTTTAAAAGTACTGTATTTCAAGCAGCTAGCCACCACGCGACCCAAACTAATGGCCTTCAATCCTTATCATATCACAGTAATGCATATTCTTCTGTCTGCGCCCACACACACACACACGGCAGGGATGAAGACTGGGAGGAGAAATCAGATGGGTCTACATTGGGGTGTGAAGCTCATTTTCACCAGGGGCCACGTCCGCCTCACGGTTGCCTTCAAAAGGCCCAATGTAATTCCAACTCCTTAACTGTTAAGGAGTAGTTACATTTATAAAGCCCTAAAATTATTTTGGCCCTTTGAAGGCAACCATGAGGCTGATGTGGCCCCCAGTGAACAGGAGTTTGACACCCCTGCTCTACATATTCCTTAGCCATGAACACAAATCTAAATAGTTTTTAATTCTAAACAATGGCAGTATCAGCTATCAATCAACCTGAAAATAATCACAGCTAACAGTTATTACTCTCATTCCACAGGTGTTAGGCACAGGACAAAGCAATTTACATGTAATTATCTCACCTAATCTTTAGAGCTACTGTGAGGTAGGTATTATTCTTAATCCCATTTTAGAAATAAGGAAACTGAGACCCAGACACTAAGAAACTTATGATTGCATAACAAGTGGCAGAGTGGGGACTTAAATCCAGGTCTGCCTAATTTAATAAAACCAAGCTCTTAACAGAAATTGAAAAAGATAGTTACAATAAAAGAACCATTTTGCCTGTTACACTAGGACCTGTGTCTGCATAGCGGGGCATGCTTGAAGTCCTGCACAGACCTGTTCCTGCACTATTCTGTGTCCACGGGCTGCCACCTTACATCCCTGGCCAGGTAACTCATAAAACTAAGCTCCCAGACATTACTAAAGTTCACAAGGCCAACAGAGCACGGAGCACAGCACCTTGTACGGGGCAGGCACCCCAAAATGACGGAGACTGGGTGCAGTGTAAGCTCACCCCACTGCAAAGGCAACTCGAAGCACATGACAGATCAGGTACACCTGATGAAGGACAACACCTTTATAACAGTAACTATGCCACTAAAAGTGCAAAAATTCCTTACAGACTAAAAAAAACTACGGCTACCTTAATTTCAAAAGTTTCTGGGCTTGGGTTGGTTTAAAACAGACTTTACCTATAACATTTTTAAACAACTTTTTAAAGATTTATTTATCTTTAGAGGGGAAGGGAAGAGAGGGAGAGAAATATCAATCTATGGTTGCCTCTCGTGCATCCCCTGCTGGGAACTAGCCTGCAACCCAGGAATGTGCCCTGACTGGGAATAGAACCACGGTTGTTTGGTTCGCAAGCCCACACTCGATCCATTGAGCTACACCAGCCAGGGCCACCTATAACTTTTTATAGCCACAAAGTTTTTCGTTATAACTCTACAGTCAATGGAGAAGTAATGTCCTACAAAAAAATTGGTTACAATAATTTTTAAAAGTACAATTAAAAGTCTGTAGCTTCGAATCCCATTCTGAAAATTCCTGAACATTAATCTGAGGACTAATCTTGAGATAAAAATCAAAATGGTGTTTCTAGGTTAACTTCTAGGCCTTCTCAAACCAGTTCCAACCAGACTTTAATGTGAGAGGCTCAGCAGATTTCTGCTGCTGTGAGTCACTAAAATGCGATGACTTCAGCAGCCATAAACCACAAGTAACCAGTATCCTATACAGAGAAAGCAGATGTCAACGTAAGAAACGTCCAAACCTGTAAGAATTTTTTATGAGTTTATTTGAGCCAAACTGACAATTACTGGAAAGCAAAATCTGAACGAAGAAAACTCTCTGAAAAATGGCAGTTTTGCACCTTATGTTATACATTACAATCAAAAGAGGCATAAGTGGGTCCATGAAATCCACTGGCGATTGACTAGGGAGGGGGGACAAAGCAAAGCAGGGAAACCTTGGGGAATGAACAAAATAGTACAATGATAGACACGCACTACCTTTGCACAGGTGGGTATGGGATGGTTAATAGTCAACAATGAACAAACATGACAGCAATAACAATGAGAGAATTCGTGGTCTTCCTCTGGGGCGGTGGCTTGTGCTTTAAGGGGTCCCAATAAAAGTATGTTATCATAGACACAAAAACAACAGTAAGGCTCAATGAAGGTAGAGGTCGACTTTTGTCAGGGAAGATTTCCAGTCTAGGACACGACTGCCCGCCATGACCTGCTTTCAGTTAGAAAGTGCTTAACTCCAGACCACCTTGCGGGGATATTTTAGGTGTCTGAGTTTGCAAGGCCCTCACACAGGCCTCGCCTGAGCTTGTCAGGCACAGAATGTGGCCCCATTTTGTCTACACAGATGACAGCTGCTCCATCCTCAATTTACAATATGACCCTCATAAGACTTATTCTAAAGTGCAATTCTATTTTAACTACCTTCCTCACGTGAGATTCTAGGGCGCAATCTTGGAAAAAGGTACCAAGCACTCCCTTCTTCCCTACTTGTTCCTTATAAAATCATTTCCTTCACACCTCTACTGCCATGTGTTTCTAACTGAGGTATGTATGAACCATATGCCATTTGCTTATCTTATAACTTTACTTAGAATGACATATAAGCAGCCAAGTGTAACTATTTCCGTACTGTACTGACATGGTACCAAAAAGTACCTAACTTGAAGCATTAGCAGTAAGAACTTAATTTCTCCACTTGACCATCCCAGCCAGAGGGTAACCAGCAAAATTCAAGGTGATGCATGCAGATGAGCTAAAAATACACTTCGGAACCCAAAGATATCATTAAACGCTCAAGTAAGTCAAAGGCATAGGATAAAGCTGTCAACGAGCTAACAATCCACATATAGCTATTTGGAACAGCTATTCACAAGTGGAGTAAATTAGGTCGAATGAGAGTATATTGAACCTAATTCCCGTTTGCGGAATCCTTGTTCGCTTTAGTACACAAATTCATTTGCAAATCGCACCTGTAACCTTCCCAATGGCACCCAAAACAAAGGCACTCTGGCCTCTCGTGGCAGATGTTTTCCAAAGACGTCATCAGCGCTGAGCCCGGCTCAGGACTTACCTGTGATGCATCTGCTTGGGGCCAAGTGTCAGAGAAAAGAGCACAGCGGGGGCCAGGGACCCGGCATCAGGGTTTACGTTCCAGGGTCACGTGCTACCGCATCTTGCTTACAACCGCTGCACAAACGCGGCCACTCGTCCCCGGGGCCTCCCCGGGCCGCCCAACTTCTCCTGAGAGCCGGCGGCCGCGCACTCCGTCGCGAGGGGGGACATGCCGGGGGACACCCGGGGCGTTTCCTCCAGGAGCTTCGGGAAAGGTGCTGTCCAACCTGTGGAGGGGTGGGGGGCGGGACAAGGGAGGTCAACAAACACAGGGAGAATGCAGTCTTGGCCCCTCGCCACAGGAGAGCCCAGGCCTGGGGACAACGCCTCCCGAGGGCGGCCCACTCGCCTGGCCGCGGGCAAGGGGCCCGAAGGCCTTCCTCGCCCCTCCCCGGGCGGGTCCGCCCGCAGCCCACCTGCTGGCCGTGGGAGGGGCGCGCGCGCCTGCCCCGCCGCTTTGTTCCTCATCCAGGCAGTGCTCTCCTCCGGACCCTCCCCGCCCGCTCGAACCAGCGCCGCGGGGGCCGCTCGCCTAACGTTTCCCGCCCGGCCCAGCCCGCAGTCTCTTCGGGGCCGCACCCTCCGAGGCGCGTTTCCGGCTCCTCAACCACTCTCCGCGTCCGCCGCTCCGCCCCTCGTGCGTGCGTCCCACCCCGCCGAGGCCAGCGGGTAGCGACACGCTCAAGCTCGCCCCTCCCCCAGATGAGTCCCTGCGGCGCGTGCGCACCGCGGGGAGGCGGGGCGGAGCGGGGCGGGGCGGGGCGTGTCTCGGTCCGGCAGGTTCCACTCTTGCGCCCAGCAAGCGACCCAATTGCTAGGCAACCAGGGCTGACAGGTACACAGCTGAGTAAGTTCCCTGAGCCTCCAAAGTATTCCAGACTCCGAGTTTCCGTCTTCTAGGCGTTCATCTGCTAAGGAAACGTGGGTCCACGCGAGCCCAGAAGACTCGAAATAAGGGACTTAGCACAGAGATGGCAGTGTTACCCACATAGAATTGGGATTGTAGCCCCAGTATTTTTCACCGTACGCTACCCCCGAGGGTTGCCCAATTTCCCTGCGTCAAGTCATAAATGGTGGTGTTCGGGATTTTATACAAATTTCCTTCCCCATCTCTCTTTGTCCTTCGTTCCCTATTGCATGCCAGGCACTGTGCTAAGCCCTGGAAGCACTGAGATGGCTTTAAAGTTAAATGGTCCCAAGTTCATGAGGATTGGTCTTTGAAACCACAGCACACTACCCGCCGGAGAGCTTCCATACACCATCAGAATAGCAGCGACCGAGGAATTTCATTCAGAAAACATTCACTGAATTATATCTCAAACACAGACATGCAAAATAAGACACAAGTCTTGACCTTCAATAGCTTGCAGTCAAGTGGGGACTGGTGAGTTCTGAGAATTCAATCTCTTGTCACATGGCAGAGGCGCACACAACGTTCTGGACTAGGGCGGGGAGTGGTGTTGACCTATGCACTGTTTCTCTCCCTTTACCTCTCATAAAGAGAAAGCACATTCCAAATGAGGGAACTTAATCAGTGAACGTTGGTAGGTCACATTGGTTTTGCTTTCCTGTTGACAATAAATAGAAATCTAAATCGTCCTGGCTGGTGTGGCTAAGTGGATTGAGCCTGGGCACTCAATTTCTGATCAGGGCGCACGCATTTGTTGCTGGGCCAGGCCCCCAGTTGGGGGCGTGCTACAGGCAAACAATGTGTTTCTCTCACACATTGATGTTTCTCCCCTTTTCTTTCTTCCTCCTTTCCCTCTCTCTAAAAATAAATAAGGTCTCTTTTGTTAAAAAAAAAAGGAAGGAAGGAAGGAAGGAAGGAAGGAAGGAAGGAAGGAAGGAAGGAAGGAAGGAAGGAAGGAAGGAAGGAATCTAAATCAAGAAAGTCACCGTATCGCAATTGACAGAGAGTGTTCCCTAAAATGACACTTCAAACCTAGGGCCAAGAGGATGATGGTGTGTCTCATAGAAGGCTAAGTGAGTTCATTTTGGCTTTCCATGACTATTCTTTTTGAACAATTTTATTAATATCAGAGGTGTATATTCAAATTAGGTCAGATAAACCTAAGAGCTAAAACTATAATATTTACAGGCAAAAATATAGAAGAAAATCTTTGTAAACTTTACAGGATACAAAAATTAGGAACCACTAAAAAAAATTAAGGAACTGAACTTCATTAAAATTTAAAATTTGGCCTTGAAAATACACTGTCAACAAAATGAAAAGTCAAGCCAGCCACAAGGAGAAAATATTTGCAAGACACATATCTGGCAAAGGACTTTTATCTGGAACATGTAAAGAACCCTTTAAAGTCAAAAATAAAAAGGCGAACAACCCACTATTTAAAATGGGCAAGTATCTGAATAGTGGCTTCACCAATAAGATATGTGGATGGCAATTAAACATACAAAAAGATGAGGAACACCATTAGTGATTAGGAAAATGCAAATCAAAGAAGTATTTTGGTAATACCTCCCAGGATTACCAAAATTAAAAATACCAACCATAACAAGTGTTGGTATAGGTATGAAGCAGCTGGAACTCTCCTACATTGCTGGTGGGAGGACAAGCTATTTTAGAAAATAGCTTAGCAATTTCTTATATCATGCAGTTCAGTAATTACACTCCTAGGTATTTATCTAAGAAAAAATAAAAATATATTACGGACAAATGTTCATAAAAGCTTCATTTGGGATAGACACAAACTGGAAACAATCCAAAAGCCCATCAACTGGTGAGTGAATGAACAAACAAATTATAGACTATATCCACATTATTGGAATACCACAGAAACAAAGAAGGACAAGCCATTGATACATAGATCAATCTCAAAAGCATTAAGCTAAGTGAAATAAACCACATACAAAAGACTACATATTATGTGTGTCATGTACATGAAATTGTAAGAAAAGGCAAAATGATAGTAATAGAAAGTGCTAAGCGATTGTCAGGAATTGCAGATGCCTAGGAGGGATGAGACCACCTGCCAAGGGGCATGAGGGAACCGAGGGACGGTGGGAATTATCTTGATCATAGTAGTGGTTACACAACTGTATATTTTTATCAAAATACATAGGACACTCAAAGTGGGTGAGTTTTACTAAATGTAAATGTACCTCAGAAAGTCAATTTTAAAAAAACGAGGATCACAAAAAAGTGGAAGCATCCTAATTCCATTCCCCAAACTAGATTAGGTCTACTATATGCTCTCTCACCATTCTTATGTTTATTGTAAGTAATTGTGTACTTTTCTGTCTTGCCAAATAGATTTTAAGTTTGGGGGACAAGATCCATGTCTATCTTATTTAACACTATATGACACAGCATAATACCTAGCATATATGAGGTGCTCAGTAAATGCAAGCCAAACTGGCATAGCTATAAGCTGTGCCTACTGACTCGCAGACCTATTTATTTGGAGATGTACAGCAAGTGGATGCCTAAAGGTTGCCCGAGGAGCTGATTTAGGTGACTTGCCAGTTTAAAAAGACACCAAGGTGCCAGTAGACAACAAAAACAACAGGAGTACTGACCAATCGAACAAGTACAAATGAAGAGTGTTGCTGCTCTTTTAGAATTAAAAGCCCAAATACTAGGAAGACTGTGGAACAAAGATGTAGGGTAGACCTTAGAGATCACTGTAGGTAAGATAAACCAGATAACAAGCATTGACATTTTTGCTGAGTGTAAAAGACAGGTGTAGAGAACAAACTACCTTTAAACATTATAGCCCTAAGACAAGGACAGGAATGGGTGAATCGAGCCTGGATTGGCCTACTTAGGATATCTTTCTTTCAATTGACTCCACTTATGGTTTCAAATCCTGCTCCCAATGGCTCATTGTAAGGAGGGTCTGGAAATAGGACTTCTCAAGTTGGTAAACCTGTTCTTTGACATTCTTTGGATTCTCTTCCATAAACCTGATACTATCATAATTTATGGTATCAGATTCTAATGGACTCATTTCTTTATTAAATGTTTGCAGAAAAGGTATGGAAAGGGGAGAGCTTCTTCAACAAATATCTGTTAGGTGCTTATTATGTGTCTAGGCTCTGGGGATACAAGAGTGATGAAAAAAATACCAGTCCTTGTGGAGCTTACATTATAGTGGAAGAAGATAAATAATAAACAAAGAAATAATTCAAATATAAAATATACCAGATAGCAATAAACACCATGAAAAAAATGTGGCAGAGAGGATAACTAGAAAGTGCTCTGGGGGATGGGGGCTGTGATTTCAAGTAGGGTAGACAGAGAAGTCCTCATTGAAAAGGTGATAATTGAACCGAAGGAAGTGAGGGAGCAATCCGTGGGGACATCTAGAAGAAGAGTGTCTCGGTCCCAGAGAAGGACAAGGGCAAAGGCCCCAGGGAAGGAGAACGGCTGGCGTGTCTGAGGAAGTGCAAGAAGATCGGTGACGCTAAATCGTACTGCCCAATTTGGTAGCCTCTAGCCACTAGCCACGTGTGGTCACTGAGCCCTGAAATGTGGTTGGTTCACACTGTGGGATCTTAGGCTGGAGAGTGAAACAGAGGAATTGTGTTAACAGCCCCAGTTCTTTACTCTTTCTAGTAACTATGCCCTTTGCAAGATAGCTTTATAGGTTGTCCCAGGAATAGGTGGAGCCTTTTTCCTACCCCATGATTCTAAGTTGGCCATGACAGATGTTTCTGAACTCAGCCAAACACAGCCTCCATCATTGCCCCTCAGGCTCACGAACTAAATAAATGCTTTTGGGGTTAAGCTACTGAGTCTTGGGGTGGTTTTATTGGTGGCCATTCTGATGAGGCTGCCTTCCTTTTCCTGGATACCACTGACTGTCTGCTCTGACCTTGAGAAACTGTTACATGAGTCTAGAACATTAATCACTAAGTATGTGGACCATCATTTTTCTTGGGTTAATGTTCCGAGTCCCTGGTGTAACTCTTCTAAAGGCTGCAGAATGGCTGGTCTTCTCACGGAGTAGCCGTGGGACTGAAACTGTGATAATCTTGTATGTTCTGTTAACCTCTTTGGACTTAAGAAGTGGAACACAGGTGGTGTTAAACTGATTCAATTTCTCAGATCTGAGGGAATCATACCCATTTTGGTGGAGGACCACCCAAGCTATAACTGCTGAAGGACCCCTGACTCTGCTCAGGCTTTGGAGTATCCTGCTAGTTGAGATGGAGCGGAATTAGAAATTGGGGGAGACCTGGGCGGTGTGGCCCAGTTGGTTGGAGCATTGTCCGGTAAACCAAAAGGTCATGCGCCCAATTCCCGGTCAAGGCACATGCCTAGGCTATGGGTTCGGTCCCCATTCATGTGTACAAGAGGCAACAGGTTGGTGTTTCTCTCTCACATTGATGTTTTTCTCCCTTTCTGTCTCCCTCCCCCTCTCTCTAATCAATAAGCATGTCCTCAGGTGAGGAAAAGGAAAGGAGGGAGGAAGGGAAAAAAGAAAAAGAGAGGAAGGAAGAAAGGAAGGAAGGTAGAAAGGAAGGAAGGGAGGGTGGGAGGGAGGAAGGAAGGAAAAGCAATTGAGGGAATGATCTGTGAAGTTTAACCAAAGAAATTTTGATGTTGA